ACATTTAACCTAATAATAAATTAAACCATTGTTAATAAATTTCCTAAAAAGGTAGGTCTATAAAATTTTTCAGTTTTAAAAGTAGAAACACTGTTCGATCTGCGAACGAACACATGAATATTGTTCCACAGTCTAGGGCGCATGTAGAAAACGCCCTATCGCCATGTGTTTTAGTATTGGACTTCTGTTGCAAAAGACGTTCTAGGGAATTTGAACGAAGTGTCCTAGAATGATTCTGGCACTTAAGTAATTCGACCAAATACCGAGGGCCAATACCATGTAGAACTTTAAAACCAGCAAAAGTAACTTAAACACAACACGGTAGGATATCGGAAGACAATGAAGTTTTACCAGAATTGGACGTATATAATCAAACTTACGAGCACCAGATACAAAACGAGCTGCCATGTTCTGTAGCAGTTGAAGTTTCCTCAGTTGATGATTGGGTAATCCATAAAAAGAGAGTTACAGAACCAGTTTAGAAGTTATAAAAGCATATACAAACGTGGCAGCTGGTTCTTTGTTAAGATACTTTCTGATCTTGAACAAATTTCTAAATTGGCAGACTAACGACTTGCAAAGATGTTTCATATGATGGTCAAAGGACATTTGTTTATCTAGAACTACTCCAAGGCTTGCGGCTTTATCAGATAAGGGAATTTTTTCATTTCCAATGCTCACGTAACCCAGAGAAGGGCCATCACGAAATTTTGAAGAGATGAGAACAACTTCAGTTTTATGTTCGTTCAACTTAAGATCATTGCGATTCACCCAACGACAAATCATGATCACCAACACAGTTTTCAGTCCGTTCAGGTTTTGATCGAGGATGCATCATTTGTTTTAAAAGCAACGTAAAGCTGACTATCATCAGCATACAGATGATAATTGATATTATAGCTCTCAATAACTTCACGGAGAGGAGATGTCTACATAAGATATAACACTGGCCCTAAAACAGACCCTTGAGGCACACCAACTGACAGGACAGGCTTACTTGAATATGATTCATTGATATTGACAAAAGTATCTCTGTAGTCAATGGAAAGGGGATGGATGTTAGCAGGTTCTGTACCACAGCTCTTTCAATGGCTTAAGTGTCACTAAACAACATCAAACACAGGTAAATAAGTTTTATTATTAAATAACAACACTATGAAAATAGCCACTGAGTTTTTATCGCTAAAAATGTTGCGCAGAGATTCCTAAAATCGACATTACTATTTTAAAATTAGGCTTTGACAAAAGTTAAACATGCAAAACTGAGCATATGAATTTCATTCAGTTATCATTTTGTATTAAGATAATAAAGACTAAGAAAAGGAAAAATGCCACAGGATCCGGCATGTCATCGTTAGCCTGAAAAAAAAAAGAACCGGTTAAACCCTTAACTAAAGTAAACTAGGAAAATAAGAACCAATTGAACTGAAAAGTCCGTTCTAATGTGCAGAGACTACGCAGCATTTCGAGAAGATACCTCGGAGCAAAAGTTTCGCTTTATGGATTTACCGACGTTGCTTTTACTACTTGTTTAGTGAATGAAATAGAAGATTCCATATACACCTGTGGTTGAGCATGACTCGACGCCGCTACCATATTTGGTAGACCGTACCTGAAAGATACGTAAAACAGAAAGTTAACGTCTATTCGCGTCATCGATAAATGAAAGATGGCGGCCGGCCGCAGTAGTACAAAACTCATCAGTAACAAGCTGCTTTTTGCTCGCCCTTAAAAATACGCCGAATTGTAGGCTATGGGTCAGCAGAGATGTGCCCTTAAGCGCAAGTGAAACTATGACCTTTTATTAGACGTTGTTGTGCATAGTGTAACGTACGTTTGTCATTTAGACTGGTCGGAATGATCTGGCCGCCTGCAGTGGCAACATTCCAACTAAGTATGTTTTTATGGTATCTTTGTCAATGTGTAATTTTCGGCCAGGAAACTGTTCATTTGCTCCGAAAGCAGGTTATTTCACCACCCACCTTCTCGACTTTTGGTCGAATAAACCTCCTATTCTGTGATAACTTGTGATTACTACTAGTAAGTTAGCTAGGGTGGGTACTATATGTGGAGATGATAATTTGTTTAGTATAGTTCTTTACAGACGTGACTGTTTTTAGTGTTTACCTGGCTTGATTTGCCTGGTGATCATTTTGCTGGCGTATAGCTTGGTTCGCGGCGTTGGTCCCCTAGTAAGTTAGAGAGAATCAGCATTCTGATTAAACTGAGACATACGCTGGAATAAATTGTGTGAATGAGGTTCAGAAGAGAAAGTAAACTTTTCTGGGCGACTAAAATTTGAAAGAAGGAGAGGAGAGTTGCCGTTTGACGTAACAAAATTATAGGATTTTAACATTCTTTTCAGTGGTTAAAGTTGATGTTGGTCACCAGGCTGCTCGGTCGCGTCGTCAAGAGCTCTCGGTAAATCACTCGATTAGAGAATCGGTTAGTTTTAGTGAGTCGGTCAGTCCGTCTGTCGGTCTTACTTCATTTCCTTGTGTGTTTTATTAGAGCATAGAATTTAAATTCGCTTGTGTTTTTGAAAAAGGAGTGGAATTTTGCTAACATTTACTTCTTGTGTCAGTGGAATATATTTTTAAGATCATTGTTTTAAATATTAGATGTTAGTAGGTGTTTTGCGTGGAAAGGTTTGGTAAACAGTATTTTCACCTGCCCAAGCGCGAAGGGCACCAAGGGCTGATTTGTGGGTGAACTGCCGGAATAGCTGTTTGTATCCATTTCTTCTTCGCTAAATGAAAAAGAAAAAGTCAGGTCAGTACCAACAAAGTGAGTTCTTGTCCCTAAAATATTCGGTTTTCAAAGGGCACCTCCAGAAAAAGGAACGTAGTAACATTTTACCATTAAAATACTGAACACTTTACCGCATCGTTTAGCTTCCTTAGAAGTTACTGGATGTTTTTGCGCATAGAAAGGTACAGCCGTCCAATGTTATTCAACAATACCTTTATTAAGTACATGTAAATCTGAAAAAGCCACCCCATTTTGTGAGCGGTATTGTATTACCTAGAGTTTAGCTGGTAAAATCTTGGCACTGCCAGGTTTACAAACAAGCAAATACGCAGAAAAAGTAGCGCGCTTTTCTTTACTGTCTTTTATTTGTACAAAAGTTACTGGAGCAAACCCGCACTTCCTCATGTTTAACCCTGATTGGTAGCGTGTTAGTTGCTCACCTCTTGTCACTAGAAGAGTCTGATTCCTTAAAAAGCGAAAAAAATAGCGCATTAGAAACTCGCCCACATCCTGCATCTTCCTAACCCTTCTCCTAATCACAGAAATTCATTTACGTCTGGTGATGAAAAGTTCGGTTGACTCTTTAGTAAAGGGACGGACGGGTTCCACTTTTTCTGTGAATGTTATAGTATTTCGTTTTGTAAAGGTTTGTTTGAAAATAAACTGGAGAAATACACAGTTAGTCTCTTCTTGTTGCACAAACTTTGTTTGCCGTAGGTTCCTGACTGCTCAGTTTTTTCGTAAAAACAGCCCTTTCGCTAGGAGATACTCTGGCTGAACTCTTCCAACTAACACAAATGTCATAGTTGGATCTGTCGAGCGTAAAAAAAACCTATCAAAAAACGTACCCAAGACGCTGAAAAAATAAGCTTGAGCCACGGTATTAAACTAGGCTAAGAGCAGTATTCACTGTTGAAAGTTAATTTTGTGTAAACAGGTTGCTTCCCTTAGTATTGCATGCGAGACATTTTTAAAGAGCATTCTCCGGCGTTATTAGCTTAGTTTCCTAACTTGCTACTCTATTTTTATCTAGATCTAAGGTTCGCTTTGTTTCTCTTTCATTGTATTTATAGTATTATTGTTTTATTGAATAAAACGTTTAATAATCTTACCATTGATACGTCTGAATCAGCCATCTAAAAAGAAATAAATAGTCATGAGTAAACCACGGCCGTGAACTTATTTCCTTAACAGCACCGTAACTAATGAATACAAAATCGCCTATGCTGGGTGACCTTTATTGTTTATTACTTTTATGCTGTCCATATCCCTTTTACTCACTAGTTATTGCCAAGTCATGTGGGCGATTTGGCTGAAATACTGATAGTCGGGAAGACTTAAACAGACTTAAAGAACTGAAATTTTAGTTTGCCACAATGATAAATATGTGTGTGGAGCGGGTTCACAGGTCTAACTTTTGATACAAACTTACTTCGCTTTGCGTCCCGTTAAAAAATAATAGTAGTAAAAATAAAATACAAAAGAAAAAAAAAATACAAGAATGATTTGAAATGATTTGCGTTTTCGTGCGCTATGTTCGAAACACTCGACCAAACACGTCAGTCAAGTTATACGTAATATTAATACTAAAAATAACCTTGGAGTAAAGATAAAAACATCCCTATATAATGTGTGAAGCGTTATATACAGTAAAAAAAAAAGTTTAGTATTTTTGGTCGTGTTTGATTCACCGTATTTCGGAATAAGATTAATTGAAGTGAACTCTAGAAGGCACTTGTGCTTGTTTCATTTGTTTGTAAAATATCTAGAAGCCTACTTGAAATAAATTATTCCGATGTATATTTAGGATCCAAAACTCAAAGGGGTAGAATTTGTATCAAAACTTTGCATCAATTTGGCTTTGCCACTCTATAGTTTCACAGTGCATTAGAATTCAGACGCTGTTTATTAAACTCAGTAGTAACAAAGCGTGTATGGCACAGTCTTCACAGTTCTAGTTGTAAACCGTCTTTCGGTTTGGATTAAAGACAGATTCTTATCAGGTTATGGGCCCAGAACAACGCCCAGGATAACGCCCAGAAGAACGTAGAAAATAACTCTTGGGACGACAGGAAACTTGAGGAATGGTGGCATGAAAATATCACGTTCGGGATCGCGCAAGATGGCGGGTGGAGAGTTAAACGCGTGGAGAGTTTAACAGTACAGAATTTAAGAGTTTAAGTGTTTTTTTTTTTTATTAGTACCGTATAACCTCCACCCACTTGTAATTGTTTGTGGTAGTAGCCAACTCGAAAGCTTGGCTCCTTTGGCTGCTACACACTCTTCCTTTTTATGTTTAATTCAATGTATAATTAGCTCTGTTTTTACTTCTTCCTTTTTTTCCTTATTGTTGTATTGTAATTGAATAAGTGTGAATAAATGAACTTGCACTTGAACTTGAACTCTTCAAGTAAGTCCCATCAAACATGCTGAAACAGATGTAGAAGTTTTTGTCAAGTGATACTGATTAAAATTAGCACCTATTAAGTTTTGACGTTTTGGCTTTTCAGGGTGTGATAACTGAAAGGATAAACGTTTCTTAGCGCTATTAAGCAAATTGTAAAATTATTTAGTTAGTGTATAGCAAAATTCCTTTATACCAAACGGGGGAAACAAGTACCTGCGAATTTAGTCCATGGATTAATGATTGATTCTCTTTTCCTTGGCTTCGACATACTCTGAGTTAAGATTAAGAAGTCTACGTAGCCTGCGGGCAAGCTCTCCGGGACGCTCTGGCGGCGGGGTGGGAGCCTGCGAACAAGCTTTCCACCCCACCTCCAGAGCGTCCCGGAAAGCTTGCTAGGCTAGAAATCTACGTTGCTCGTAGATACGATAACTCTTGAGACGGATTTGTTCTTTTAATGTTCTTGTTTGTTTGACTGTTGTTCAGCGTCACTGATCACTTTAACAAGAGTTATCGTGGTTTTGCGTTTTAGTGTGTTTGTTAATGTTAAAAATGACAATTTGTGCGCCGAACGTTTTGACAGTGTTCTTTCTTGTTTTCTCATTTAGCTGACACGCTTTTATTCTTAGCGCTTCTTGTGCAGCAACACGGCATGCTGGGCGGACTATTTTTGTGTGTACAAAAAATAACTAAGAATTGTAAACACTTCCAAGAATGTCCTGGAGGTTTACTGATCAGTGCTGGCACAAGGAAATACCTGGAAATAGCAATCTCTACTCTACGACCCTTATTACTCTTCATTACTTTGAAACATTCCCTTTAGGGTTCTCGTGAATTGAATTTTAAGTCAAACTGAAAGTTGGGGCTTTGCAAACGCTTGGATTTTTAGAAAGAGACTAGGTAAACATCACTGTTATTTCATAAACTCCGTTCCTTCCTATTTCCTACGTATTTGTCCTTGAAAACGTTGGCTTTCTCCCCGTCAGCCTCTGTTCAAACAGAAATACCTGGCGCTTACTTCTTTCTCACCTTCTTCCCTTTATTTTGCGCTTTGTGTCCTCGTCTCCTTCGAACTTCGCTGTTCGTGTGAATTTCTGCATATGCCGTTGTGTAGATATGTAAGAAAATGACTAATGAATATTTTTGAGTGTTTGATTGACGGCTTCAAGTGAGGGTGTGTGGGGCTACACTGTATAAACGTTAAGGCACCAAAGGTGTTGATAATGAGTCGAACCGATACAAACATTTTAAAAAGCTGGGCCCAAAAAGGCCACAAACGATACATTAAATATTATGACAATAGTTATGATTTTAGTTAATAAAATAACAGTTATTAAAATAATAGTTATGCTGCCAAATTTGAGGGCTAACATCTTCGTTATTATTTTGTTATTTTTTATCATTAATCAATGTGTGATGATGATTTCAAAAGTAATGAAAGTGAAAGGGGATGTTATTAGTGTAATTATAACCAGTATTAAGACCCATTGGTATTTACGAAGTGTTAATAAAACAATCTTTTTAAATTGCTTTGAGCTATGTGAACGTTGCGTTCTCCGTTGTTAAAACACGCGAATAAGTGACCTGGCAAGTGCAGTTAGTGGGAAAAATTGGTGGTATTAGGACCCGTAGGTAGTTACATTTCTTGTGAAAGCAACAATCCTTTCACGTTGCTTTTATTTATGTGTAGTAGTTGGTGTCATGTTGCGTGTTCTATTTATTCGGGAAATACACTTTTGAAAAAGTGACGTGGGTCACCGCGACGGTTTAGTGTCATTAAACTTTGACGACAATTATCTAAGTATCATTCAGTGGTGAAACTTATTTGACAAAGCTTTTAAATGTGGAAAGGAACATTTCTTTCTCTTCCCGCATTCAGTGGAGAAAATTTAATCTTGTTTTTGATTTTTGTTCTTCTGTTTTTCTATCGGGTAAGGACACATGTTGACGATATTATTTGTAACGCATATAGCCACAGCGTATTTCTAAAGATAAGTGGATAACTACATCTACTTTACTGTCGCCTCTTATGGCGAAGGCAAGTGGGATTAGTGGGAAAATTGTATCACGACGTAGCGATAATCGTTTGTAAGCAATACTAATAACCTGATAATATCATGAAAGCGTTTCACAATTCATTCCATAGCCTCTTGGCCTCAGGCTGTAAAACATCGTGTTATGTTAAACAATAACTTGTATTTTGCTTACATTGACAGGCACTCGAAAATCACTGACGATAGCCTAATTAGTGGAAAGATTATTTTTTTTATGCCCAGTCCCGATACAAAGCTATTATTAGGTCTCGTCTATTAAAGAGATGTAAATCGCGGCGTGAAGTCTTAATTCCATTTAAATTTTCTTTTATCTTCCAAAATTTCTAGTCGAATTAAATTTAACTAGAACAAGGTCAAAAGTGATTTTTAAACAAACTTTCACTGGTAATTTGCAGCCCGTATCACCGTGGACCTCTTGGCAACTTAGTAACACTTGTATGAAGGGCTTTGTAGTTGTGAAACCATACCCTTCACATCGAACTTATTACTTTAGTGAGAAACTAAGGCCTTGGCCAAACCTGGCACTTCAATCTGTATGTATATTTAACCCTGTTTAGATGGGTTATAAGAAGTTTGTCCGCTTTCCGGTATGTTAATGTAATTGTTTTCTGATTGCTAACGCCCGCCTCGTCATTGTCTATTTCGTAAATGTTGAAATGTATTTCTAACTGTATTTCTTAATGTATATGTAATTGCATTTCTAAATTTATTTCCACGGCCGTCGCTTTTTTAGAAAATTTCTTTTGTCATCTTGTAGTAATTGCTGTTGCTTAAATACCGGTAATTATAGTTTGCGTGTTTTACAACGAACTATTAAATGTGACGTATTTCATCGTCGATTCATTGAATGGTCAATGTTTGAACTGACACTAAGAAACTGTTAGGAAATTATCGGCTCGTAATTAAGTGGCAGACAAAAGGAGAACAAAACAAATCAATGGAGGTTCTCTAATCTCTTGCATTGATGTGTACGCATGTTTTACCAAGTTTCGTAAAAGAAACTGCAAGGTGTTTCGATTTAAATGGTGTTTTCATTATCTTTTATAAACAACTTGTGTTCAGCGGTACCTTAATTGATAGTTTGGGTTGCGACGGAAGAGGAGAAGTTGTAATGAGTGTCGCTCCGACGCTTTTAAACACGTTCAAGCTTTGGTGTGAATGGAGCTGAAATATCGAGTAAGCGGCTGTACTTTATCGATCGTGATTTTGTCAACGTTCTCGGTTCATATTTGGCTGCTGAAAGCGAGAGCAACGACATCGGAAACATGTGCGTTTAAAATCTTTTTAATGCGATTGTAAAAAAAAATCTAGTCCGAAAGTTGATTAGACAGATTGATGTCAGGTCGTAGTGATCCGTGACTGCTCCCCGTGAAAAGGTTGACTTAGCGGTAGCTACTGAGTTATTAGAGGAATTTCAGTACTAATACCTTCTGAAAACAGACCCGAGTGTCTTTTGGAAGGCGTCATTTGTTCCTTAAAACCGCGTTCAGCCCACGAGCAACGCTAATAAAGGGTCATTGAAACTGCTGAGTTTTCAAAAACAGGAATTCGCATATTGGCTGTCGTAGTATCAGGTCTGAAGTCAGTGAAGTCAGTTGATTAAATAGTTTTGCTGAATGGTCTCTTTGTTAAGCAGTCTACCTTGTAACTAGTATTAACTCCCGGCACTGTAAACCAACCGAAGAACAATCAAATCGGAACAAGGAAATATAGGTTATCGAAAACATCTCTGAAGTTCAATGTTTTGTGGGAATGTGTAGCACTCCAACAAGGGAGGTAGGCACGTCCCAATTGTAACTAAATCATACCCTGAATTCGACTATGCTAAGTTGACAATTAGCATGCACTACCTGCTCTCTATATCTTTCACATGGCGAGACTGCTAAATTATATGCAGTTTTACTCTACCATAGAGTACTGTCTGAAATCACTGAACTAAACGACGTGAAAGGGCAAATATATAATATTAATATATATTTTATAATACGTAAAAACGCATGCTAAGATATGGTCTTTTTAATAAATTATCAGCTGCTTCATTTTGAAAAGTTCCGACCTTTCGTCAGGACTGTATCTTAGAGACACGAGAAGTTAACGGTCTTTCCACTGACCCATAAACAGTAATGACCATGAATGGCATGAACTGTAAGGAGAGCTTTGAATGAAAGATGAAAATTCATATATATAACTAACAGCAAATAAACTGAAGACTTCATCTACTATAAAAGTGCTTAATGGTAAAACCAGAGCTGTGAATATATATACAGCTGTTTGCAAAAATTTTGAACCCCCCAGAAATATATAAATATAAATATATACATTCATTTGTAACTCCAAAAAGTCTTTAAACAGGAGAAATTCAGACCTGCCTGTAACTACATCATCATGCATGCATTCTTATATCAAAAGAAAACAATGTTTGCCAATTACATAAATTACACCTTACCATATTAACATATCACGCCAATATAAGTAATGGTAAAGTTATTCTCATTAAAATCCCCTGATGAGTGGGCAACCACGAAACAGGCTTGTAGGGATACTTATGTAGTTACTTGTTTTCTTCCGTCAACCATACGTATACTCGCTCTACTTTATGTATTGAGCACTGTTGTACGGATTTCAAGTTCAAACCTCTATCACGCCAATATATGTTTTTATATCTGGAGGTTCTGGAGCTGTATATATATACTAAATTTGTAAAAATAAATTCTATGATAAGAGCATGAATTTGTCAGGTATGCATCTTAAAGAAACGAACAGCTCACTGTCTTAACGCTTCCCACAAATATAATGACCACAATGGCTGTGAAGTGGGAGAAGTGTAATTGGCATGAAAGAAGAAAATATGACGTGTATCCCTTCTCTATCTAATACACAAGACAGTCGGTATATATGACGAAGTCAGGGCCTGCCTTCTGTTCCTTGGACGATGAAAGAGGTAGTAGCTTTCTTAGTAAAAGTTCGGCCAAACACAGACAGTGCAGAGAGAATCTATTCAACTTTTAGGCACACGAGTTTAATTGACATAGGAAGGGGTTATTCAGCAGAAAAAGGTTTACTACCAAAGGTTCTCAAAGCCTTTGTCCAAAGCAGAGATGAATAAGCTCCTGCAACGCCGTTTCACTGCCCTCAGCGTTAAAACGCCTCGAGTCCAATTTGAAGAGTGTATTGGAGAATGAGTACAGGCACTTTAAGTTTCATTTACATGGAACATTGGGGCTCATTCTCAAACATTCATTGCTGCATAACGCACAGTTGGGTTAAAAACGTGTTTTGAGAGAGTGGCGACGGAAAGTACACTTACCCAGATTACATGAATTGTACTTGGACTGACTCAGGCATTACTGTTTCAAACCCAATGTTGCTTCATCAGTAAAATCTCTCAATTACATTTCTGAATTGAGTATTTAAGTGTTCTACCACGTGACACAATATATCTAACGTAACTGACGTCACGTAGGAGCATTTCTCAGTAACGCGCAAGGTGCACGTGACGAAAGTTGCATGCAGGTGGCTTTGTCCAATCATAAAAGCCGCTGTACTTGATCGATCGTGGTTTTGTCAACGTTCTCTGTTCATACTTGGCTGCTGAAAGCGAAAGCAGGTTTAGCGCGCACGCTGTTTCCGTTATCGTTCGTCTGCGGTGGAAGTTGGCCGATTTTGACACAACACCGCCGTGTGAATATTTGGGTAACATTGTAGAGGGTCTACATGCGGATATTAAGTTTGAAAGGTTCATGTTGCTTGGGCTTTATATTATGATGCTTGATGTAAGTGCATGGGCATTTGAAATCACATGGTTAACCATGGTTAACCGCCCAAATTGCAGGAAAATTGAAACACAAATTACCGTAGAATCGCGGAATAAATTTGCATATTGAACATGAACTTTCTAAGAAAGTGAATCAATGGTTTCCTTTTAAACACTTATAGTTTCGTTAAATGCTTGCTGCAAATTACTTTTACACTGAGCTCCACTCTTCTTTCCTAACAAACTCTTTACTAATTAAGCATCAGACCTGCATACCAGGCGATTTTTTAAAATCGCGACCCGAGGTACTCATACTGTCCAAAAGTACAGGCACAACCATGAATTTGTTGAACGCCCCCCTAATAAGTTGCGACTGACTACTTTTCCGGAAATGCATTTGCAGCCATTGAAAATCTAGTCCATTTATTGTCCCGGAAGCCATAAATTTACTTCAACAACAATAACGGAAATAATTTCTTCCAAAAAGTTGGCGTATTGTAAAATCTATGTATGGTAATGTATGATGATCTCTGAAGGAGTTTTATATCTGATGCAAAAGAAAAAATTAACGTTTTCAATGATTATTTTGCCAGTCAAGCTTCAGTACCAAATAGTGACTCTGCTGAAATTCCCTTTCTCCGTCGGTGGTCATCAGACTCCTTGTCTGTTATCACTGCGGATGAAGAAACGGTTCGTAACCTTATGTCATCTTTTAACATTTCAAAAGCTATTGGCTACGACGGCATAAGTAATAAGATTATAATACATTGCAGTGAGGGTCTATATAAACCATTCACAAATTTAATCAACACTTCATTTCGACTTGGTCAAAATTCAAGTGCTTGGAAACTTGCAAATGTTTTGCCGTTGTTTAAAAAAGGTGACCGTCAACTGAAGACTAATTATCGCTCAGTTTCACTTTTGCCATGTTTATCTAGGATCTGTGAGAAAGTAGCCTTTTTTCATCATTTTTCAAAGTAGTTTTCGTCCAGGGGATTCCACTGTTATGCAACTTATATATATTGTTCACGAAATTTGTGAGGCCGTTGAGGAAGGTAGTGAGATGAGGGCCGTTTTCGTTAATATATCCAAAGTTTTTGATAGAGTGTGGAATCGCGGTCTGATAGCCAAGTTAAGAAGCATTGGAGTTGAGGGGAATTTGTTAAACTGGTTTACAAGTTACCTTCCTTGTCGTAAACAAAGAGTGATAATCGAAGGAGTGCATTCTGATTGGCGTAATATCTAGGCGGGTGTCCCCCAGGGATCAGTCTTAGGTCCATTATTGTTTCTTGTTTACATTAATGACCTACCAGTCACAATCTTTTCTCCCTGCTTTTTTTTTGTGATGAATTTTTTTGGGCTGGAAAAAGTCCAGTCTCCTAGTGATTGCGCTTCCAAAGTAAATCATGACTTGACATCAATATCTGATTGGGCTAAACGGTGGTTGGTGGCTATGAATGAATGTAAGACTAAATCAATTATTTTTTCGACAAAAAGAGGTAAGCTTTTGCACCCCCGTTGATTTTGAACAATAGTATTATTGAGGATGTGACAGTTCATGAACATCTTGGTTTGACCTTGTCTTCTAACTTATCTTGGCGAGCGCATATATCAAAAATTCATCAAAAAGCTTCCAAAAAATTAAACTTACTAAAGCCACTGAAATAAAATTTGAGCCATAAACGGTAATTAATTGCCATTTTCCTGCAACTAGGTGCTAACTATGCTATATTGTTTAAAAATCAAAGCAATTGTCTTACTGTTTTCGATAAAAACTATAAAGCATAAAATTTCTAAGGTGTTTACAGTGACGTGACGTATATTGGACGTGTTTATTCAGATCGAACAGTCAAGTTGTACAATTCATCGAAATTCAGCACAAAAAGGGTCCATACGTTTTACAAAACTGCTGCTTCCGTGCAACTCGGTGCACGCTTACTCACCAAAACAAAGCCCAATAGTTTTTCTTCAACTGCTATATAAATTCTCGTGACTTGCATTAAACATAAAAAGTGAAAATTACCCACCTTTTTACTGTTTTTTAGCATGTCTTCCTCTCGCAACCAGCGATCGCAACGCCCATCTCGATTAAACGGATCGAGCCACTGTGTTTGTCTGACAGTTCAAGGATGCATTATCCTCTACACAACACGTCACTAAATATTTCGACCAAAATATTTGTCGATCTCTCATAGAGGCCAGAAAACCGCAAGTTAACACTACCGACTAACAAAACAGCTGGCTTTTCTTGTTTCATCTCGACAACATGTCAAGGGGATTTTGGCTCTAAGCCAATGAATTTGCCGAAAATTGACCACGTGATATTTCGCCATGTCAGGCATGCGCTTCTCAAAGGGCAGACGGCTATTTATCGACGAATAAAATACCCAGGCCAGAACTATACCCGTCTCTTCCTGAAAGGAAGGGCGGCAAAAAAGAGTAAGTCGATTCGAGTAGCCCTATTGTCCTTTTTTAATGGAAAATATGTTTAAGAATATTTAACGACGATTACAGTAAACGTCCTGTGTGTAGCAGTTTTGCGGCTAGAAATTGTGTAAACTTAAACGTGGAATTATGACGGCGCATTACTGACGTAATTCTGTCCCTGTTAAGATCGGTCAAGGTTAATGATAACTTGCCTAAAGGGTGAGGAATTTACCATTTACTGATGTTTTGTACCATATCGTATGATGTTATTGCCCCCGCAGGGATTTCGCCCAGAGACGAAATCCCGAGGAGGCACCCTAGTAACTCGCGCGTATATTAAGGACAGTACTTACAGTTCAAATATACAGTCAGTATACTAGAAAAAATCTTGATTTGCTCGAACTGGGGCCGCGAGGAATCGGTAGGAAATGATGACGTTTCTATTGTTTGCGCCCGCAAGTACAAAATGGTTAGGGTGACGTAAAGACAGAAAATCCCGAAGGGACCTCTCAGGTAGATTTTGTGACATTTATTGTGCAGTCATACTTCGATACTCTTTCAGGCGTTACGCAGTGACATTCTGTGGAGCAGTTGTTTTGAAAGTTATGGACCAAAAGACACTCGTTAAGCGCAGGGGAGGTTATAAGGTGCGTTTAACTGTGTAGATATATAAACACTTGGAGAGTTTGCCGGACACGAGTTCACAAATCTTTGATTTATATTGGAAGCCTTGCCAGACACTCTTTCTCTCTCTTTGACCGGAATAAGACTCAGCCCCAAACAAGCAAGACGAGTGAACAACGGCTAGCTTATCACTAGGAGATCGATGGACATTTACAGAAATTCGCCGACAATCAAATTCTGTGCTGACTTATTCCCTGCTCACAGATGTCTTTCCGTTATAAAGTTTCAAATAAGACTAGAATGCACTAGCGTGAATCGATCAAACGTCCTTTTAATTTCTAAGGCTTACTTTCCGGCAAATAAAATGAACTGAATGTAAAAAGGGAAAGAGAAATAGCGAAAAATTCAACTTCTAATTAAATCTTTTCTTATGGTTTAGAATAAACTATTCTCGAAACTGAGAATATTTTGATGAAAGCTGTGAAAATCGAGCTGAAACTGTGCAAAAACCTTGCGTTTCCGGTATTTATCTCACCTATTGTATGGAATATGTGTGAAAATCTTCATTATGAATCGGTATATTTCAAAGAGCTACACAACCAGCAAGAATACTATTGACCAACAATATACAAAACGGGGGCAGCTGTAGTGTCAACTATTACTAGTAGCATTGTATACTCCGTCTTTATTCTTGTATTTATCATGTGTCGTAGTCATTTTTCCAGTTGCCAACCGCATAATAGGCATCAAGAGTTCAGTTGAATATCGTGGTATTGTCGCCACAAACCTTTGCTTTTTGAGCTTTTCCGACCTCCTAGGAATAATACATCTTGTGGTGATGTTTCGATTGGTTTAACTTTAAGTTGCCATGGAGACTGCATGTATAATGTTTCCAAGAAAAAAGAAATGTCAATGTCAATGTCTTAAACACAGTTCCGAGAAAAACAGACTCAAATTCCATGAATTTTTCATCTACACTTTTCGATTTAGAGTGTACTTTTTAACGTATAGTACAAGTTAGAAAGAAATAGCGTAAAAGAAATTTAGTCCGTCGATTTTTTTGAGACTAAAAGCTGAGGACCCAATCAGTCTTCTTTTTTCGATCGTAAAAGCAACTTTACCATTTGTACGATGTTACACCTTGGGGATGCTGGCGAGTTGGCTATTTGCATCAACATGCCTGGGTGAGTTCCGTATTGGGTATGTTTTTAACACATCCTCTAACTTACTTTACTTCAGAACTGAGAAACCTGGACTGAAATAACGAACCCTTATATAACAAAAGTTCTTGGCAGAACGAAGAATTTACCTTTCCCCAGTACTAGAAAAAGTATATGGAAATGAACCTCGATATAACGAAACTTAGGTATGGCAAACATATTTAACCAGCCCCTTAGCCCTTCGTTGTATCGACGTTTCACTGTACTAGGCTTAGTTAGGAAGCTGAGAGAGTTTGTCATTTGAAGCAAGCGTTACTAAATGTATGTCAAGGAAACCATCTGTAGATTTTACTAAGTGGATTGAGAACATGGCTTGCTCGCTGGCCTGCTTGGCAGGCCTTTAAAAGTGATATAGAGGGGGGTTAAAATTGTGTTTACCTCTTCTCTGCTGATTTGATTTTTTAACTGATTATACACCCGAATAAGAAATTTGTACCTCTCAGTCAGTTAGGTATTTCCATTTTTTCTTTATGTGTATGTGTTCTTTAAATATCGCATTGTGTCCCGTTAGACACTTTTTATCTTGGTGCTATTTAAGTATCTTGCCTTGTACACTACTTGTACAACTTCTGAGGAATTTGAACTTGTCACGGCAACAGGAATGTCAAAAACATAATTGGTTTAATAAGCAACACAACAAATTTGCATGTTCTTTACACTTTTTGCTGCATAACTATGTTATCACTGCACGACTAGGAAGTGAACGTTTTCTTTATATAATTTTACTTTACAGTATTGAACAACACATAAATTAAAACGTGTACAAAATCTAACAGATATGATCTTTTAGAGACCAAAAACAAGAGAGTAATTAAAATGACTAACACAGTAGGATCAGAGTCCTGGTTTTGCTATGAGAGATAAAAGTGAAAACTAAATCGGCTTGAGCTGTTTATGTTAGCAACTCAGTTCACTTAAATTTTGACAAAATTGTGGCGAGCGAAAAAGGAAAGAAATTGCAATTAAAAAATAGCAAAAAATATCGGGCGGGTATGGCCGCCGAAAACCTGTTCGAAGTCCACTATATATCGTACACTATCGTGCGTTTGCTTGGCCACCCGAAGTGAGTAAAGACCTTCAGTTTATCATTAATGAAATGTTGTAGTCTTGATAAGAAAGTTAATTGCCTAGCTTTAGTACTCTTACCTCTGGCCCAGTAGGAACCCTTAGACATGCTGTACCGCTAGAAGAAACGTTATTTAAAAGCAGTTAGTATTTAGAAATGACTTTGGTTTAGGAACAAATTTCCTTTGTTTGCATTTCGTACTTTCTTACCAAACAGGGTTATGTCCACCACCTAGGTCCGTGTATTGTGGCACCAAACGTCCTCCCTCACTGTATTGTTCCTAAGGGGAAAAAATCACGATGTTTTGTATCACAGTTTTACTGCTCATGACGGACTCAGAAACATTCAGGATGGGCATGGCTACGTCACATGACTTGGCCTAATATGTGTTTAGTATTTCTATAGCCCGTTAAGCCGTGTTTGGCACTTAAAGGAAGATGTTTTTGACAAAGTTTGACTGAAAATGATCTAAACTGTCGTTAATGTGAGAATTTCAGCCTTGACTGAGCAAACTCTTCTTGGTTCTAAAGTTGCAAAGGATCACCAAACTTGTAATCTTGTTACCTCCTCATTGAGTGGAATTTGTCGACTTGGTCCTTATTTTTTAATGACCTTAAATGTTTCGAGGAACGTGCGTTTCTAATGCTCCTTTTACTATGAGAGCAACATTTTAAAATAAAATTCAAGTACATGTACGCCTATACAGACGGGTACATCAGGGATTGGGCGCTACAAGTCTATTGAACACAAAATCATCGTTTAGTTTAAGCTCATTTTGCGCCCAAATGTTTCCTTGCAGCTTGGTGTACTGTCTTGATATAAAGTCCATTAACATTATGTTGTGTAATCAATATTGTTTTTCTTTAGATGTCACTGAAGATTTAGCAGAATGACATGCAATGTTCAAGGAAGACAATAATAACATTTACCTCGTGATGGTAGCCGGGATCTGGAGCGGCTTGAAGATCTTGAGCAGTTTCAGTGACGTCATCCTCACTAATCAACACCAAGTTATAAAGGCGAAGTAAGCTTTCACCGTTTTGCTTTTGTATATCAGATTGATTCCTAGCAGTAAGTCATCTACTGATTTATTTATTCGTTCATTTGTTTCCTTGTCTTTCTTGCTAACTGGCTTACTAAGTTGAGTAAACATCAGTTATATTTGGGAAAGGTTTGAAATATCGGTTTAAGTTTGCAGGGAAATGTTTCGAACAGCTCATATAATAAAGATGGCGAAAGAGCCTCCAGAAATCGCCAAGCTTATAAAATGTAAGGAGAATTACTCTCTTACTGAGAGATTTGCAGGACTATTTTCTATCAAAAGTTTTAAGTGGAACATGTCATTTCTAACTTCATAAATTAAAACTGGTAAAATTATTGAAAAGGTTCGTAACGATCTTGTAACACTAAGAGAAGCAGTTCTTTTCAGTTGAGGGCCGAAAGTCATTTGCATTGATACACTACTCGATTTCTCCCCAATGTGTCATCTGCGTACGTGTGTCTCTAGCAGGCTTCGAAAAATATTTTAGCTCTTTTTGGTTTTTAAGAAACCTGACTCTTTCTTCCACATTGATTGATTCCCTCATCTTATATTTGGAGTTTTAAATTGTTACTTTAAAAGAGGCAGGTGGTCCAATTTTTTTTAAGGTGGTTCGACCCAGTATTTTTGTAGACAGGTAGGCTTGCTTGATTTCGAAAGACTGGAAAGTATCTGGGTAAAACTCAATGCTGAGCTCTTTTTATAACTAGGAGGCTATTCTCACAAAAAACAGCGATAAAATCAAATAGCCTTCATGCAGAAATCCAAATAGTCTTCGTCTAGAAATTCCACGATATCTCGAAATTGCACTTGGACATTTTTGTGAAACTTCGCTAGCAAAGAGCATTTCCAGAGAAAGTGCGAATAAGGACTGTAATTCGATTAAGAGCGAAAACCATTGTGACGTCATTGTTACGTGGTATTCCGTTCGCGAAAAAAATTATGTGTAATGTCATAATAAAGTTCAGTCCATATGTGACCATGTGTTATAATGTATTTACAATAAAGACCAAGTTATTTAAGTATAGGAGGTCCAAAGGTGAAAGGTATCAGTCTATACAAATACTGGATCGAGCTACCTTAGAAGAAGCGCTAATAGCAATATTCTCTTTTTAAGTACAGGAGTAGAGGATCTATTTATTGAAAAAAGGCAAAGTTCGAGTGATATTTAAGGGCCTTTGTAGGTTTATGAACAAAAGCAACGCACGCCTTACTTGTTGCCGAGCTTAGTAATTACGGTATCTGTTTAATGACTATCAGTGATTTTATACGTTAGATTTTTTTACTTTTTACCTAGAAGTAGTTCCTCCTTAGCCTTTTCTTCATCATTTTTCTGAAAAAATAGCGAAAAACATCGTTTGTTTTTGTCCAAAAGTCAGAAGTGAAGATGCAAATCTCTATGTACCTTGACAGAGTGATCTATCAGTTCACAATCATTTCCACCATGATATCGTTTTAATAAATATTTTTTTCTATTTCACTAACTTCGTCATTGACACATGTACGTAAAGATAAGTAGATGTTAAAGTATGTTCGTACATCACAACAACCGTAGCCAAATATAGTACGTTGAAGGTTGAAAAATGATATATTAATCGTTTCACGAAGTATAAACCTGAACAGGTTAGACAATACCTTGCAAGAGACCCAGAAAGGAAGCAAACATTGCAAACAGGAATTTAAAATATTGATTTAAAGCCGTGAAATAGTCCGGGTCGAGTGCATCCTTTTAAGCTGTACAAAGGATTTAATAGCATTGTCTAATTCGTCTGCTAAAACGTTCCAGTTGTTGAATATCACAACAAATACCCCTATGTTGAGATAACTGACATGTGTCTGTGTTTTGTAACCCCGCTTACGGAGTTTTTATGTAACGTGAAGCAGTAAAACCTACACTCCACCCTGTGTAATAAAAAAATCCCTGTAAGCTAATTTTTTTTTCTTTTTTTATCCGTAAAGAGGTGATGCTACTCAGCTTCCTGTAGTGCATTTAATCTTAGATTATAATCCAGCGCAACGATTTAAAATTTGCTCAATATTTGTTGGGAAATTTGACGTCGTCATAAGGAAAAGCATGATACTATCTTCGATGCTCTTACCTGTTTTTCAGCCATCTTGAGTCTACAAGAAAAACAAAGAAATTATTTCAAAAATTGGATTGGGCTTTATTTGTAACCTGTATTTGTGAAAATTGTGTACGTATATTGATAATTATTCATTGAGGTGCTTCAATAGAGTATGATTGATCAGATTGATATACGTATCCCTAACTGAAGCAAAACTGAGTGCAACGAAGGCAACGAAATTCAGAAATCAGCTGTAGTACATGTAGTTCAAAGCGTAGTAAAACTCACGAGCAAATTGCAGTCTCCCCAGTTCGCTCACCAGATAAAATCAAGATTTCGGCCGTGAACTCGGTGAGTACTTTTATTTAGTCGTCCTAACCTTTACAAATAGCCAATTTTATCCACGCCAAATTACCATTGGAATCAAGTAATTGTGTAGATAACCAGATGCAGGGCCAAATTGAGTGACAATATAAATTCTGGTTGTGGGGCAAATGGTGCAAATCGATGTGCAACCAGCGTATCGTTGTGGTTTAATTACGCGGAATACGTCTATTGTCTTTAATAGAAAAACTAGTTTCACCTGCAAGAGTTAATGGCAGTATCATAACAATAGTGTCTAATTAAGAAAACTACACTACGGGCGTTCATTTCAGATAAACTAAAAAGGCATTACACGCCCTGCTGTGATTGTCTTCTTAGTTCGAGAGCTTTAAAAAGCTCTCGAATTGTTCTTCATAGTAATTTTATAACGTCTTGAAAGTATAGAGGCAGGCTGAAAATAAGGGTCCAAGATGATGCTGTGTAGACAGTTTTCTTCTTGTTGACACAGAACTAAAGTTCCCGTGTTTTGTCCATTTTAAGAATATGGCTATGAAATTTAGACCTTTGTATAAGTTCAATGCATACTGTGTGATTGTCTAGTCGTGTGCGAGTGTTCCGGGTTAAAGTGACTGGTGATTAAAAGCTGTTTACCCCAACACAGCCGTTCCATAAATTGATGCTAAGAGTCATCTGGCGTTTACACTCGGGTGGTACGTGCATCTTATATGCCTCATTTACTGATCGATACAGTAGTGTTGCAAACTTCACTATTTATGCTATAAATTGAACAGTCATGCTTTCTTAAAGAAGAAATTGATTTGTAATGAAACGAAAAAACTTGGTCATTGACATAAGGCAGCTTAACCGACCACAACGACGACGGTAGCGATAACCATCCCTCAGTAAAAGGATATTGCGTTCATTCAAACTGTTCTCTTGCTCACGTTCGACCAATGCAAGAGAATTTTCCCGCAGTTGAATTTTAAAGTCAGTTCTGAAACCTTATTCAAGAAGAGAAAGGAAAATTCGTTGACATGTGTCCCCGTCCTCCATGAAGCGTTGCGGTAGGAATTTTTAATAGAGAGTTTTAGATCCGAGTTTACCGCGATCCTCTAACCGCTGAAGGTCACGTGACATGTCTTTCGTTTGAGGTTTACGACGAGGGTTTTCAAAGTGGGGAGGTAGGTTTTCATGTATGTCATTTGCTTGAAAGCTTTTAGCGTATAATTCTTGTTTTATCCCACGTAATGATACAAGAATCTTGTGGAGCAAGTCGTTATCCATTAACCGAGGCACAAATTCGGGCGAAATGCTAAATTTGATAAATCCTATTGGATCTTGAAAACAAGTGCCATTCATGGCCGCTTATTCAAAATGGCTGCCGTAAATTTGCAAGAAGAACTAATGTAAGAATTTACTGCTCTTTGCTGCTAGATAACCCAGTGTTACCGTAAATTTCTTTTATTTTCATTGATTGATATTTTTCCTATTTCTAAATGGAAAAATAAACCAGAATCCACTTCTTTAATCCACCGTCAATCTAAATCGAATTATGTTTGAACGTCAAACCGCAAACGGGTAACCGCAAACCGCGGTTAGAGGTTCGCGGTAAACTCGGGTCTAAAAGTCTCTAATGTCGCAGTCGTTGCCGTCTGCGTCGTTGGATCTTAAAGTCCCTATTTGGAAACACGAACACGTTAACAATGTTCGTTTCAATTTTTATCGAACTTTGGGTTGAGATAATTTAGTTTCTTTCCGGATTCCCCGTGTTGGAAAGGCGGTGATTTCGCAGATTTTATGTCATTCGAAGTGTATTTTCATTAATAATCTTGGTGATCTGTAACCAGCCCTATCTTAATAGTTTGGTTTGTTTTGCAGGCGAAGCTTATTCTAAAAATACTAAATCAAAGGCGGACCTTAATAAGTCGCGTACTTTTTACCTCTCTCTTGCTTGGCGCACTGAATACATTTAAATAAGCTCTTATTTAATATGCGGGAAGGAATTTAAATTATATTTTTACCAATTATATTTTTTGTTCGTCGCTGAGCTTTGTCACGCTCAAGCGTTTCATGTGTTCTGTAATATTAAGTGGGATTTTACTTGATTTAAAGTTAGAAATATGGCTGAGAATGTTTAAGATGGCCCGTGAATGTCAACGTCTTTTCATTTTTCGAAATAATTAGCTTCTTTCCGTTAAAAATTCTTTCCTCTGATCCTAAGTTATTTGGCAGACGGCGCGTGCAATTTCACATTTTACACGCTGAGAACTTTTGTAGTAAACGTCCAAAATATTTAGTAAATGTGACACTGTTTGGTTTGTATTTAAGCATTAAACCGTGAAATGAACAACCTTGGCTTTGAAGTTCTTTCGTTCGACCGCCGTCAACAGTCCTCTCGTGGAAGCGAAACAAGTTTGTACAGTTCCCACGTATCTGAAAATGTTTTTTTTTTAAGATTCATAAACAGGTTAGCTGCATCTCTTAGCTATCGTAGGTTGTCTCACCTTTGTTTTTTCCTCTCCTGTTGGAGAAAAAGAGAGAAGATAAATTTCTGGCTGGGGTTGAAGTCTGTCGAGGTGAAAACGCGAGAATGCCGCCGGACTACAAGCTGTTGAGTGCTCTTTTTAAGCTTGGCCACAGAACTGAGATATCACTGATTTAGCTGTCAAACAATAGGCACGTCAATCGCCTGTCAACGGAAGCTCTAAATCCGTCCCTTTTCTGGCGTTGTCCACGAACTTTGACGGCAATTATCGAACAAATTTGTTGCCTTTGGATTCGATTTGGATAGTTCTAGCGTGCAATGCAGGCGTGTTATGGGGGCGGGCGAAAGCTGCTTGTTTTTGGCGTGCTATGCGGCGTAGGGTAGTTCTAACCTGAGTATCAGGCCATCTTTAGGGATCAGGGGAGAGTGGGTAAGAAAGGCGAAGGGGGAAGTGGACGACAGAACAGAAGCGAGCAGACAAAAGCGCGGGACTCTTTTCGTTTAGAAGTACACTTTATTACGATGTATCTGCCAGCACTCTGGGTTAGGTCTAATAAAAACTGAACTTTTGCGTGTCTTGCGCTCCTCGCTCGCTTAAAAAACGGGAAAAAGAAAATAGTAATGAAAAATGAACATAACAAAAGTTGACTTACGCACGACCCCAGAAAAGAGGGAACACAATAAGTGAGTGCATTCAATTAGAAGAGCGGCCAAATCAGTGTCAAAAATTGCCACAGTCAAGATCGACGAACACCGTCACCGCGACACAGATTCAATCAGGCAGAGCGAGAACATTTATTATTCATCTAAGCCTACTTTTTACCTCTCTCTTGCTTGGCGAACTAAATACATTTAAGTAAGCTCTTATTTGATATGCGGGAAGGAATTTAAATTATATTTTAACCAAGTCAAGTCCAGTCAATTTTTCTTTAAACTCACACAGAATAATTATAATTAATACAAATTAGTGCTTTAAAATATAAAATCGAGAGATTGTGATTGATTTTCTTAACATCAATAGATAAAGAATTCCAAAGTTTTGGACCAGTGTAACTGAGAGAACGAATGCCGTTTTGAGTGGTATGAACAGATTTAACAAACATATTACCATGTTGTTCGTCGCTGAGCTTTGTCACGCTCAAGTGTTTCATATGCTTTTTGTAATATTAAGTGGGATTTTACTTGATTTAAAGTTAGAAATATGGCTGAGAATGTTTAAAGTGGCCCGTGAATGTCATCGTCTTTTCATGTTACGAAATAATGAGCTTCTTTTCGTTAAAAGTTCTTTCCTCCGACGCTAGGTTATTTGGTAGACGGCGCCTGCAATTTCACATTTTACACGCTGAGAACCTTTGTTGTAAACTTCCAAAATGTTTAGTAAATGTGACACTGTTTGGTTTGTATTTTAAGCATTAAACCGTGAAATGAACAACCTTGGCTTTGAAGTTCTTTCGTTCGACC